GGTGGTATATATACACAATGGAATACTACTCAGCCATAAGAAATGATGAAATCCAGCCATTTGTGACAACATGGATGGACATTGAGGGTATTATGCTAAGCGAAATAAGTCAGAGGGAGAAGGTCAAATATCATATGATCTCACTCATAAGTAGAAGGTAAAAACAGCAACACACAAACACATAGAGACAGAGATTGGACTAGTGGTTACCAGAGGGGAGGAGGGGAGGAGGGGAGGCAGAATGGCAAAAGGGATGATTAGGCACATGTGTGTGGTGATGGATTGTAATTAGTATTTGGGTGGTGATCATGAGGTAATCAACGCAGAAATAGAAGTATAATGATGTACATCTGAAATTTATACAATGTTACAAACCAGTGTTACTCCAATAAAAAAATAAATTAAAAAATTTTAAAAATGCAACACAGTTCTATACAGTCGTGCTGAAAGTGGGATGAAACTGGTACTTTCATACATTACCAATGATCCTGAAAATTAATTGGAGAACTTCTTCCAGAAAATAATTTAACAAGTTATTTCAAGAGCCACAAAACCTTGGATAAAATAGGACTATATTTCAAAACATTTAAAAAATATGTACCAGTTATACATAGTAGTGAAAAATAGAAGAAACTTAAAATGACCACGAGTAGGGGAATATATAAGTAAATCAAATCTTAAATTTACTCAGTGACCCAACACCTCCCACTGACAAGCCTGGGCCAGAAGTGAGCACAGAACGAGATGTTTGGAAAGAACATCTGTGGCCCAACTCTATGGGGAAAAGATGCTGGAAGAAGTCACTCAAGGAAATATCATATGCTTCCTAAAAATGATAAAACTACTTAAGCACCATAAGAAAATGCTTATAATATAATGTGAAGTGAAAAAAATCCATATACATACTTGTATGAGCACTCTGAAAGCATAGCATGTATAAAATGGGAACTTACGAGATGATAATAAAGTCGTAGAATTTCTTCCCAAACTTTCTGTAATGCCAGTATGCTGTAGAGGCTCAGAGGAGGGACTCTGGAATCAGGCAGTCTGGCTCTGATTCCTGACTCCTCACTCACTAGCTCTGTGATCCTTGTGACTCAGTCCTGTGTTCTGTAAAATGGGGACAATGACAGTACCTACTTCACGGAGTTGTTGTGAAGACTAAATAATAGAATATGTAAAATACTTCAAATCATTACTGGCACATACAGTTTTGTAAGATCTACATTTTTTATTAGGTTTATAGAGAATGGATGATTTTTATAATGAAATAAATACATTTATACCTCTCCAGAAACACTTCACCAAAGAGTCTAAAATCAGAATTATAATGGAGCCCAGTTTTGAAGGAGGCCCCCACAAAGCTCTGTGATACTTACAGAATCAACCAGGATGTGTGAATGAGCGTGGGACCCTCCCTCCAAAGGCTGGGAAAAATAGACATCTATGGAATATTGTACATCTGGTTCCAAACAGATGGATGTGGGAAGCAGCACGATTCTGTATTAAGAGAAATAAAGCAAAAATTCAGTGACAAAAATACAGTTATATAACCTCAGTGGCCATAATATTTGGTAGTGTTCCACCTGTGCTGTGAAGTGGGTTCCACCGTGGGGCGGAGGCCAGATCTAGGTCTAGACTAGCTCTAGTGGGTCAAGTGGATGGTAGATTCATGCTTGGATTCTCCATGGCTCTTCCACAGGATTGTGCCAAATGGCAAAGCCTTGGAAACTATTGGCTGTGGGTTGTCATGACTACTCTGGGAAAAGGATGGAACAAATTTTCTTCATCCTATCTACGACATTAAAATTAGTGGCCTCAAAATTAGTAGCTTTTTACTTCATAGATTCTCAGCTGTTGAGATAACTCAAGCTGAATATTTTACTCTTTTTCTTGTAGTATTTCACCTTCTCACATCTCAAGGCCACCCGGGGAATGGGAAAGGAACATTCAAGATTTAGAATCAGGAGATCTGGGCTGGAATCCTGGTTCTGCTACACATTAGTGGTGAGACTTGGGCAAGTCATCTAAGTATTCTCATTCTCAATTTCCTCCTCATCTGATGAAGACAGAATCTACCTCATTGAGTTGTTGGGGAGATGAAATGTGATATTAAATGTAAAGCATAGTGTAGCACACAGTAAGCACTTAAGAAATGTTACAGTCTGCTTTAATACACCTCTTCTAGTTCCTGGATAAAAATAATTGATAGATGAAGGAGATTCTAAGAAATCTTCAATGTTTGGGGACGGGTCCCAAGCATACCTGGAAGCTGCTGGTAAGGCAAAAGACTGAGGCTTTGGCTGTGGGGTCTTGCGTGTATAGTGCTCACTCCCTCCAGGAGGGTTAACCACGATCTGAACAGCCCAGTCAGCTGTGGACTAGACAGACACGACATAAAAGCATGTCCCGTGAGGTTGCATGCACGAACATACCTAATGGATAGTGCATGGAATCGAATTTGCAACCCATAGCCCACTCGGAAAATAGAATTTTGGAGTTGAAAGAAGTCTTAGAGGTTCCCTGTCAGGCCCAACTCTCTGCTGCCTGAGCTGTGATCCAGGTAGAAAGAATATTGTTTCTGGCCATAGCTATAGTCCATGGGCCTGGGAAAACCCTGGCACTCCTGACAGGTCTAGTTTTTAACCTCTGTCTCCCAAAAAGTCGATTAATTCATCCTGTTCTTGGATTACAGAACAAAAATAGAAATTTGAAATCCTTCACAAAAGGACATGTACTTTTTTCACATTATTACATAAATATTATTATATAAATATATTATTCTATAAATTACATTTAATAATTATTATGTTACTAGATATATTTATATATGTATAAACATATATATATTTATAGCATAGGCTCATTAGCTATACTCTGGAAGCCTTACAATTTGTAAAAGCTTTTTAAAGCTGTCAGAGGTGTCCTCTCTATGGAAAAATTAATATATATATATTTAATGACTTTCTTGTCATACTCACCAGGTCAAAGTTCACTGAAGTCCCTTGGCTTTCACTTGTAAGTGGGAAATAGAGAATTATGTCACATCAAGAGCTTCAAAGCAGATCAGCAGCTCCGGTCATACGACACACAGTGAGTGCTTCCAGAATATGGTCCCTAGAGGGACTTTGGGGGCTTTGAGACTACCCCTCAGCCATAGAAAATATTTTTCAGGGGAGATGGTCTGTGGGGTTTCAGATTATTAAAGAAAATTTCCTGCATAGAAAAGGTTAGGATCTGTTGCTCTAGATCGAGTGTTTTTCTAATTTGGCTTCTATCCTGTCTCAGATATTTCTCAAAAGGCAGGCGGAAGGGGTAGGGAGGCTGTAGGAGGCAGGAGCAGCCTGCTTTTAGTTTTTGTCTTGTTTCAGGGTAAAATCCAAGTGCAAATAAATACTCTTCTGCATCCCTGAGTCTGAATCTCTGCACATATGTTAGTTTATTAAATTTTCAGGAAAAAAGTCCCAGGAGGGCAAGATTTGTGTTATTTTCATGATTTATTGTTCTTACACAAACATTCCATCAGCACTTCCTCAGACTTAAATATATAACTCTAACTTTAGCTTCTCTCCGTGGAATAAAGCACGTGTACACATGGCTCACTGTGTCGCTTTCATATCTTTAGGAAACCTTTGGTTTATAATGCTCTCCAGATGTTCCACTTTTGGCAGATTATTTTATGACGTACCTATCTAGCAAGACTGGAATGGAAACACTTAGCTTGAGAATGTATTTCATTCATTCAGTTTTTTACCACCAAAGAAGTTGGAGTTGAAGGGTACCTGCATTTCATAGCGAATGGCAACGGCGAAGTCCATGGGAAAGGGAATGTTGTTGACAGTAAATCTCAAGCCAGCTCCAGGGCGAACCCTGGCAAATCCAGATCCAGTCCACGTAACCGGGGTCCCAGGAACTGGCTCTCGGAAAACACCGTGATCAGCAGGCACCTGGTCAAAAGTCACTGAGCCCTAAAATTGGAGAGGAATGTACACAGCTTTGCCTACAATCAAGGCCTGGAAGAGTTCAGAAAAGAAGAAAAACATGTATTTCCCGATGTGTATATGATCCATCTGAGTCACGGGTAAATTATTCCAACCAGGATACAGTCCAGAATACAGCCGAGAATAATGTGCTGAGTCTGCAGCTCTGGAACATACGTTACTGTACGGAATGACTGATTTGAAAGCACTTTACTCTAAGTACTCCACGTGCTAATGGACTGAGCAAATTCCACATGGATGACCTTGGGTTTTCTCAGATACAACTGTGGAGCTCTGGCCAAAACATGAAAAGGAAAATATTCCCATGCCTACTCACAGATTTTCCCTAATTGTGCATGACAGTGAGAAAACCCACATGGATTTATTAGATATTTCTTCCACATAAACATGAGATATGCTCTTCTTCTATCTGCTTGGGGGCATATAAGTACAAAACTCCTAACACACTCGATTGATTAGCATCCCTGCTAGTCTCTGTTCTGGATGTCAGCCTGGGGTCATCTGGACCTTGTAGATAGTGCTTCTTTAGTGACTTTTACATCTGCCTCTCCACACTCACAGCCTCCACTGGAATTCCACCTCTTGTTCCTTTCTGCCTGTATTGCTGCAACAATACTCTCTTGGCTGTTCTCTCCATCCTCTCCCTAGTCAAATACGTATTACACACTGCTGCCAACAAGCATTTCAAACGCTTTCTAACTGCCAACAGAATCAAGCCCAAATTACTTAGCCTGGAGTTCAAGTTGCTCTGTGATCTACCCCCAAACTACCCTTCATTTGATAAATGTTTATTTAGTAACAATTCAATGCCAGCCTCTGAATTAGGAATGCAAAGATGAAAAGGACAGAGTCCCTGCCACAAAGGAGTTTAGAATCTTGCACTGGAGACAGAAATATAAATAAGAAACTATACTGCCAGGTTAGGTTTCAATAGACAGAGGTATTTGTAAACTCATCTATATGCAACGTTTTTCAAACATTTAAAAAATACTCTCACAATGGCAGTAGACAATGTAGGTGCCCCCTCGGGATCCCCTTTACCTGGTTGGTGCACCCGTGCCCCCATTGTGGTGTGTGCAGCTTGTAACAGCTCACGTTGCCCCCCTTCTCAGCAGAATTGCCCTCTCACATCCCACCCATCCCCACCCCCCAGGTAGCTGGTGGCCAACGACTGCCTAATACGAGGGTATATAAGGCTGGCCTGTTGTCTCAAGGGGCAGGACAGCTCTGTCTGCAGCTTATGCTTCTGAGCTCCTCTGGATTCAGAGGATCAGTGGATCAATCCAAGGTTTTTTTCCTGGTGACCACATCTTTCTCTTTCCTCTTCTCTATCTTGTTTCCTTCACTCTCTTGAAGAGTTTTCCTGAAGAACACTTCCTTAATAAATCACATGCACCTGGATCTGGTCTTAGGCTCTGTTTCTAGGGCACCTGACCTGAGACAGTGGGTACCAGACAGTTTACCTAGAAGTAGACTCTGAGATACAGTTCTGGAGGTGGATCATTCTCTGTTCAGCTGGCTATGAGGACCCCAGGGTGAACAGTATGGATGATCTCTGGCATGAAGTAGCAGAACAATTGCTAAAACTGTCACCTGTGGAGAACTGGGACAGGATAAGGGGGAAGGGAAGGCACTGACTTGAGCGATATTTCTGGCATTGAGAGATACGGGGGAAATAGAAATTAGAGGAACTGTGGAAATAGGGGGCTGTGGCTGAATGCCACTGATGCTTTGATGAGAGAAGATGACAAGCTCAGGGCAATCAATCACCAATTTAAAGCAAAGTATGAGAATCAGAGGGCCTCCTTGGAGGCATTTAAAGAGACTCTCATCTCCTTTAGCTAGAGGCAGGAAGAGCTGAAGACCAGGCACTAGACTCAGATGTGAGATTTGCAGAACTTCAGAGAAAGCTGAATTCTCAGCCTGGTAAGTCACCTCTGCCAACGTCAGGCCCTTCACAGGGAAGCAGTGGGATCTTGAGATATGGGTCTTGAACCCCGAGGTTCTCCTGAGCACTCTCAGACTACAGAAGTCATCTACTCACCTTTATTGGAAAATAGAGCCCCTCCACTCCATCCCTGCTGCATTTGAAGACAATGCAGAAACCTCAAGTGATGGCAGGTGCCTTAAAAGAAGATGTGTACCTTCCTCAGGATCTGCCTGTACTACCCCTCCTGACCACTTGCCTAATAATTAGGGTCAAGTTTCAGCATGATCTGACTGGGAAAGTGCTGGATATCTGAGAGGGACCTGGCTAACACATATCAGTAGCAACTGGGAGAGAATGGCTGGGTATGGATCCTGAGGGTGCTAGACCAAGGGAGCAGAAAATGAAACAGAATAAGGAGAGTTTGTTGATTTGAGGTCACCAGTGACATAGGATGTAACAGCCTGGCAAGGGCCCTGGAGCCTTGGGAGATGGATCTAATATGTTGCTGGAGTAGCTCTTGGAAGCTTAGCAAAAGTTGTGCCCAGAGTCAATGAAGCAGAGGTGCCAGAACTGCTGCAGCAGGCTGTGGAGGAAGGGATAAAAGGCTCAAAGAAGCAGACATGCTAGCATAGATCTAAGATACAAGACTAGAAAATCCACCAACTGTGTTTTCCTTAGGGGGCCTGGAGGACACTCCATTTATCAACAGTAAAGAATGAACTGGTGAGGGGGCACCAACATCACTGAGAAGCTGAGTATTGGGTATCCTCTGGAGGCTGGTAGGATACACCACTGCAAACCGAGCTCCTTAATATCAGTGTGGAGGATGAGATCCCAGACTATCAAAGGCTAGGTAGCACTTAACTCTTAAAAGCAAGGTGGGTATAATTATTATAATGGGCAGCAAGGTTGGACTAGGAGCCAAGGGGCCTGACCCCCAGGAATCTTCCATGGAGATGGTTAATAGAATATGGCATTCCTAGGAGCAAGATAGATGAGCAGTCAACAAAAGCATTGCTTAATCTATATAATCAAAAGCGATCTATTGTAAATTAGCAGAAGGCTGAGGTCAGCTGTCCCAGTGGAAAGACATGATCCTTTGCCAAGTTTCTAGATCTGAGCCACTTCTTAGATCCAGAACCTGGTGACTGAATGAAAGGCCAGGTCCCCATGAGGAAAGACTCTTCAATACCATGGCAAGTGTGATTCTCTCACTTGTTTCTCAAACAGATCTACGGTTACTTACTGTTGGGGGAGGGGAAATATCTAGATCTTTCAAGGGCTAGTGGATACAGGATCTGAGTTGATGCTGATAACCAGGTACCCAAAGTGCTGTTAAGGTCCTGCTGTTAGAATAGGGGCATATGAGGGTCAGGTAATAAATGGAGTCCTGGCCCAGGTCCTTTTCACGGTGGGTTCCCTGAGTTTACTGAGCCACCCATTGATAATTTCCTCCAATTCCTGACTTTGCAATTGGAATGGACCTGCTTAGCAGTGTGCATTGATTCTTTGACCTGTAAGGTAAGAGCTCTTATGGTAGGAAATGCCCAGTAAAAGCTTGTGAAATGCCCACCCTCTGCCACCACCTGCACTTCCAGCCCTGCCACCAAGCCAAGATAGAAAATAAAAAACAATATCGCAAATTAGAGGCATCCTCAAAGTGCCACTCTCAAGACTTGGTGGTGGTTCCCATCATATCCCCATTACGAACTTGACCAAGTTGTAGCCCCACTTACAGCTCTTGTGCTGGATGGAGTATCTTTACCAGAGCAGATTAACACCACCCTACATGATATGCAGATTAACAACTTATGCTACAGGATACACAGCTATTGAAATGCAAAATGTGTTCTTTGCCATGCCCATGATGGAGAAGAAAGAGAAGTAATCTGTGTTCACTTGGGATGGGCAGTAGTGTAAATTCAGCCTTGCCCCAAGGCTGTTAATTCTCCTGCTCTCTGTAACAGTGTAGACCAAAAGGATCTGAACCATGCAGATAGTCCACAAAATATCACACTGATCCTCTATATTCAAGGATAGTGAAGTGGGTCCCTTGGTCCAAGGTGATGTTATATGGTCTCCCACAGTGAGAATCAGACACTTTGAGGTCTTGGTCAATACCACTCTCTGAGGGCTCACAGAGTATCTGATTCACCAGTGTGGGAAAACATAACAACTCCTCAGCCCAAGGGACCCACTTTACAGCAAAAGAAGTGTAGTAGTGGTCATGTGACTTTGGGATCCACTGCTTCTACACAAACCATGCCATCTACAAGGGGCTGTCCTGAGATGGCAGTGGAACAGGGCCCCTGTAAGATGCATCAGCTTCACTAGCTTGGAAACGACACCCTGTGAGATGGGGCAATATTTTTCAGGATGTTATTTACTCCTTAAACCAATGGCCTTTATGTGATGCTGCATCCCCAGTAGGGAGAAAACATGGGTTTGGGAACCAAGTAGGAGTAGCCAAGGTCACTGTCACTCCCAGTGACCAGAGGAAGTTGGGCTTGCTGTCCTTGCAACTTTAGGCTCTGTGGGTCTAGATGTCTTGATTCTTGGGCAAGGACAAAGAATTCCACTAACCTTAAAGCTATGGCTGCTGCATGGTCACTTGCGTGCCTCATGCCAGTAGACTAGCAGGCACGGGAAGGAATTACCCTAACTGGTAGGGCTGTTGCTATATTATGGGGACTTGAGAAATATGTACAGCACTGAGGTCACCCACTGAGGCACCTCTGGTGCTCTCATATATGTGGCCTGATAAGGACCTGGTAACTAAGGGCTCAGACCCCGGAGGGATGAGGGTCTAGGTCATCCCACCCAGCAGAAGTGCTAGTTGAGGATGAGGTGAGTCTAGAATGGGTGGCGAGGAGGTAGGGAGACAGTGAGCATCAGTTAAAACCTTGGGACCAACTAACTTCCAAATGGCTGGAGGCTGCAGTTTGTCCCACTAATCTTTGTAAATTTTCTCAGGAATTGTGGCCAGTGAGAATCCTGGAGAAGCTGTGCCTACATGGAGTGAGCTTAATGGAAGAAG